AAGGGAGGGGGATGGGGTGTTGTGGGGGAAGGACAAACAAGACAGAGTTGTCTTGTTATGTACTGTCCTTCTCTTGTCTCTTTTTGCTGTCTCTGTCTCTGTTTTCCTCTCTCTTTTTCTCTGTGTGCAGAGTTTAAGTAGTATGTGGGGTGGGGCAGTTTGAGGGGGGTTGATTTTTTATTTATTTTTTTGGTTTTTATCTTATGTTCAATATAAAAAACCAAAAATAAAAGTCATCGGGCTCGAGCCGTAAAAATAGCATATTGCAAAAATATAGAATAAGGCCGTGTATAACAGACTCTTGTGATCCTATTTTTTTTGGACCCGCGTATAGCGAGAGCTTAATGCCCGGATTCTCTTTTTTATCTTGTGTTCAGTGTATTTTGGGGTTCGACTAATTCCAAACGCTTCTTACTAAAGATAATTTTATACTCGAAGTGCAAATCGAGACCGTTAGTTAAAAATAGAGGAGTACTTATCATTTAACCACAACTTTAATGATAGTTGTGAGTTTTATATTTCCTCGATATTATTGGATTGAGCACGAAACTAAAAAAATAAAGTATGATTTTTAAAATTTGTGATCTGAAATATGCTTTAGATATTTGTATAAAAATTATACTCCAGTAATATAATTACACCAGGAACAACAGTAACAACAAACTCAATGAGTTTCCACAAATAAGGTACACACCTTAACCCTACGCTAGAGAAAAGAGAGGCAAAACTTATAATATACTTAAATATAATAAAGTAATTTTATATTTTAATATATTAAAAACGAAAATGTGCCACGTAACTTGGAATAATAAAAGTGGTAGTGTATGGCTACTGCAACTACCTTGTGGTTCTTTCTTTTTCTTTGTCCAACGATCATTTAGTTGGTTCATAAAAAAAAATAGTTTTGACATAAAATTTCACAACTAATGTAATGTTTACTTCAAGTTTTTGTATAACTAAAAGAGGTTTATAGCCTGTTCGGCCAAGTATTTTTTTTTGTCAAAAGTACTTTTTTGGGGCCAAAATCACTTTTAACCAAAAATTATTAATATAAAATTTAACATACATAATACCAAATCGTTTGGCTTTAGTTATTGAACAAGGAACACTACCACCAGCATCAGCAAATGTACAATTAAAGTAGTATTAAGAAATTTATAAAATATATACAAATATAAATTTCAAACTCAATAACTCAAATAACTAATTAAATCGATGACACATATAAAATAGCCCGTGAAAGAAATATATAAATACAAAATACTTTTAAAGTAAGTAATTTTTGCATATCACTATATTATGCTATATTGTATAACAGCTAGTAGTATATTATCTTTCATCGAATTGAATTATGTTTTTCTAGATTTATTTCGGGAAAGAACCCAAACTATATACATACTAGAGGAGGCAAAATAGAGGGAGCAACGTGTGTATAAGTGGCATTTCTTGTTTTTATATTACGCCTTTTGGTAATAAATGGAGATTTTATATCATGTTTGCGACCTTATTATTTATTTTTTAAAATTCTCGCTTGGTATTTGGTATTTATATGTGTGTTCAACTAAAATTGGTTTTGCGCTGAAACTTTTATTCCGAGACTAAAGTACTCCCTAACAAATATTAACTGATACAGATACACTTAATCTTGTTAGCCAAAATAGAAATTAAAAGCATTATTAAAGAGATAAATTTCTCTTGAAACAATCACATGTTAATTTGATGTTCAACATAAATTATAATTATAGGTGCTCCTATAATTTAAAGGTAATAAAGTGCGTGCAGTACATATAATTTGACAAAATAGCATTGTGGTGACCAGATAGGTCATTTAGAGTTTTAAACCTTAAATTTGTGTTTCAAAACCTTTGATAGCTTCTTTAAGCCTTCTTCGATTTGCGTGCGCAGTCCGGATATTTTTCAAAAAGCTTTTATATTAAAAATTGATAAAAACATGAAATTCTGACTTAAAAATCTATTTGAGTTGACTTCGATCAACGCTTTGAGCAAACGGACCCGAATCCGTATGTTGATGGTTCCGGTGGGTCCGTATCGTGATTTAGGACTTGGGCGTATGTTCGGAATAGAATTCGGAGGTCCCTAGCTCAAGTTATCACTTTTTGTCGAAATTTGAAAGTTTTAAGGCTTAATAAATCTAAAAGTTTGACCAATATTTGACTTTGTTGATACCGTATTCGTATTTTGGTTCCGAAATTCGGTATAGGTCCATTACTATATTTATGACTTGTTTGTCGAATTTGGTGAGAATCGGAGTTGGTTTAACGTGATTCAGACGTCCGTTTGTTAAAATAGTAATTCTAAAGTTTCTTCGAAATTTTCATTTGATTTGATGTCCGATTCATAGTTCTAGATATTATTTTGGTGATTTGATCGCGTGAGCAAGTTCATATGATGTTTCTAGACTTGCGTGCATATTTGGTTTGGAGCCCCGAGGGCTTGGGTGAGTTTCAGATAGGCTACGAAGTGGATTGGATTTAGAATTCATAGCTGCTTCTAGTGTCTGCGGCAGATCTCGCATTTGCAAACCCGGGCATGGCTGGGGTCCTCACATTTGCGAGGTAAAATTTCACAATTGCAAACTTGGCATTTCCGTTTTTGCGAAGGCAGAGTCACATTTGTGACTCGGCACCTTTTGTGGCGATTTTCGCATTTGCGAAGAAAGGTCCGCATTTGCAAGGGCATTAGGGTTCACATTTGTGACCATTTTATCACAAGTACGATTACTGGGATTCTGAAATGAGTTCGCAATTACTACCTCCTTCTCGCAATTGCGAACAAGATATCGCAATTGCGACATCTGCAACTGTGTAAAGTTGAGTTAGATGGGATTTCTCTCATTTCTTCAAAATTTCAAACCTAGAGAACCCTAGATGCGATTTTCCCAAGAGCCCTTCTTCCTCAATTCATTGTTAAGTGATTTTAACCTATTTTCTTTCAATCTTTCATTACATTTCATAAGATTTTAATCTAAAATCTAGGATTTTCATGGTGGAAATTGGGGGTTTGGGAAGAATTTTTGTAAAATTAGAATTTAGACCTCAATTTGAGGTCGAATTTCGAAATAAATTACATAACCGGGCTCGGGGTGAATGGGCAATTGAATTTTGTTCTGAATTTTGGCTTTGGACCAAGCGGACCCGGGAGTCGACTTTTGTTGACTTTTTCAATAATGATCTAAATTGAACCTTTTTCATTCGTGGGTAGTTCCTAAGGCTTATTTTGAATCATTTGGTTGATAATTTGCTAGATTTGGTTGGTTCGGAGACTTGTTCGAAAGGCAAAGCCGTGATTGATCCTTGAGTTGATCTTTGGAGCGAGGTAAGTGTCGTGGTTAACCTTGACTTGAAGGATTAGGACTTGTTTGTCTATTTGCTACATGTCTAATTGTTGGGTACAACGTATATGTGAGATGACGAGTACTTATGCGTTGTTGTTGGGTCAGAGCATGCGGGTGGAACTTGTTTCTTGTAATTTATTTCTTTCTTTGATCATGATATCCATACTTAAACTAGTTAATTAGTAAACTGCTCGTTCTTTTCGCATTTATGAGCCATCTGTGATAATTGAGTATTGTTTCTGAAGTTGAGGTTAATATTGGGGAATCTTTGTTGATGTAAGGCATATTCTTGCTTATTCTATCTCTCCTTTTGTTATATGTTCATTGTTACATGGTAAGGGAGAGTGTTAATTCACGAAGGATGATGTCGTGCTATATGTGAGTGTTAATGCACGAAGGATGATGTCGTGCTATATGTGAGTGTTAATGCACGAAGGGTGATGTCGTGCCATATGTGAGTGTTAATGCACGAAGGATGATGTTGTGCCATATTTGTAAGTTAATGCACGAAGGATGATGTTGTGCCATATTTGTAAGTTAATGCACGAAGGGTGATATCATGTCATATCTGTGGATTTATGATGAAAGTGAGAGTAAAAGCACGAAGGGTAATGTCGTGCCGTTGTTATTGTTTCATAGTGAGGTTGAGAGTAAAAGAAAGAAGGGTGATGCCGTGCAGTTTTATTCATTATGTTCTATTAATCTTGTCGGTTAAAGGTTTATTGACTGTCTCTTATTATCATTCCATACGGTTGTTACCGTATCTTGCAACCCTTATCTCATGCCCCCCTCCAATAGTACTTGTTAACTCTTTATTTGTTGTTATGTTGCTCATATATTTACTGTCCGTATAGGTTTATTTACGTGTTTGTCCTGTCATAGCCTCATCACTACTTCGTCGAGGTTAAGTGTTACAACCCATATTCATATATGTTAGTTCATGCCATAAGTTAGTCGACGTAAATCCGAGAAGAGATTATCTTTGAGATGATAAGAAGTTAATCATATTTGGCCTTAAATGATACAAGGGTGTATAAGAGTGGTTAACAAGTATTAGAAGTTAAACGAATCAAGGATGTTGTAACCCGTATTTTCGGGTAAAACTAGAGGTGCTTAATATTCTCAAGAGGTCGAGTTTTAAGGAATTTGAATCATATAATATTCGTATCATAAGTCTTGAAGTCAAACGAGTTATGAAATAAAAGTCGACAAAAGTTGTTGCAACTTTCGTTCATAACTTTATTTAAACTTTAGGTCAAATGTTACTAAGTTTTTCTCCTAATTTACTTGGACTTATGGTGTGATCTACCAACCAAATTGAATTTCTATGAGTATATTTTTCAACTCATTAAACCGTTCGTCGATACGATCTCAGAGTAGAAAGATATTCATATTTTTGCGAGACTGCCCAAGTAGCTCTCTATGGGGCCCACTTAGGCAGTTTAAGGCATATGGATATATATAACATACCTCAACCCATTTTAATTCATTATATTTCAGTATATTCAGACCTTAGAACCCTAAAAATACTCTCTCAAAGTTCTCTCATGATCCAAGACTCAAACAAAGGGC